CTGAGTTCGTTATTTTCTATTTCGATTTCCTCCTGGCCATCATTTTCATTTATTAATTCTTCTTCTTCAGTGGTGTATTCTTCAGATTCTCTCGAAATCGCGTTTGTGGATTCGTTGATTATTTCTTGTTCAGTTTCTATTTCTTTGCTGTAGGCCCTGGTGTTGGGCCTATCTTTCTTAGACATTTTTAGGTATTTATTGAGTCAATTAACCATCCTCTGCTACCAGCTTGTTGCAATATTTTCAGGATCAGACTCAATAATAATAATAAGAGTTAGAGGTTTAAATATATTTCTCTTTAATTATAATAGGCATTCTATATTCACTGAATATTCACAGATAGAAGCAAAGAAAATGGTGAAGGTGGCTCCTTATATATACAAAGGGTGGAGCCAAGAGTGGGAGTGGTGAATTATGAATACATTAAGAGTCAAAGAATAAGTTAACCCCTGATATCCCATATATACATTATTTACACATTAGGGAATAAGGCATTTACATCTGACAGTCTTAGCCTGTCCCCTGGTCCAGGCAGTTCTTTGTGCCACCTGGCTGGTAACCTCTCCCCCATTTCCCAACTTGGACTTCCACTCCTTGGTAGGAGAGACAATCTTGGAATGTAACGAAGGCTCAGCTTCCATGTTTTATGCTGTCCTCGCCTACTTGGGTTTCCTGGCCAGTGTCAGTTTCACGATGGCCTTTCTGGCCAGGAAATTGCCTGACAGCTTTAATGAAGCCAAATTCATTACTTTTAGCATGCTGGTCTTTTGCAGTGTTTGGATCTCATTCCTCCCCACCTACCTGAGCACCAAAGGAAGTCCATGGTGGCCGTGGAGATCTTCTCCATCTTGGCCTCTGGGGCTGGTCTCTTGGCTTGCATCTATTTCCCCAAATGCTACATTATCCTATTCAGGCCTGATCTGAATCAGAGAAAAAGTATAATGGGACACAAAAATCTCTGATTTATATGTAAAGTAGTAACATTTATTTTGGCTTTGGCCCCTGTTTTAATTGGATGTGTTTCTTAACAATGATGAAGTAAGAGAGTGGCTTGTCCTTCAAATAGTTGGAAATCATGGAAATATTTAGTGGTGCAGTGTTAGAATACAGTGTTATAAACTAATTCTGCTGATTGCCAGGGTTTGATCCTCACTGGCTCAAGGCAATAGGCTGACTATGTAAACTGCTTAGAAAGGGCTGCAAAGCACTGTGAAGTGGTATATAAGTCTAAGTGGTATTCCTATTGCTATTTTATAATCATCTCTGTCCAAAGACATATCATTTTTAGTTCATGTTTGAAAGTCCTTCTATTTGCATTTCAGATTTGGTGCAATACAATTTAAAGTATTAAAATATTTCTCCATACTTCTCAGTATTGTGATGTGATATGGTTAAGTAATTAGAATAACATATTAAACATATGTCCTCCTGTCTGGGGGTTATGATTGTCTGCATGGGGAAAAACAGATTTCAATTGAACCCCAGCAAGTCTGAGTGGCTTAGGGTTTTGGAGTCCTCAAGTTCAAGGACTACACCATCTATGGTGCTGGGTTCAGCTGCATTGCCCCAAACAGACCCTGTGAGAAATTTTGGGTCCTCCTGGGTTCACAACTCCTGCTTGAAGATCCAGGGGCAGTTATGGCTAGAAGGGCCTTTTCACAACTTTGATTATGTGCCAGTTGCACCCATTCCTGGGCAAAAGACGTCCTGGTTGGACTACTGCAATATGTTCCATATTTATTTATTTATTTATTTATTTATTTATTTATTTATTTATTTATTTATTTATTTATTTATTTATTTAATTCAATTTATATCCCGCCCTTCTCCTAGTGGACTCAGGGTGGTGCACAGCCGGAACTAAAACACATACCAATACAAAATTTAAATTTTTTAAAAGAATTATATAACTGTGGCCCAAAATTTAAAACATTCAAACTAAAACCCAATTGACAATTTAAAAGGCTAAAAAAGGCTTAAAAGGGAGGGGGGGTCAAGCCAGCCCTGCTTGATGGAAAAGAAAAGTTTTTAGGGCATGGCAAAAAACCCGGAGATCTGGTATCCTTCGTATCTCCAGGGGCAAATCGTTTCAGAGGGCAGGAGCTGCCACAGAGAAGGCCCTCCCCCTGGGGGTCGCCAGTCGACATTGCCTGGCTGATGGCACCCTGAGGAGTCCCTCTCTGTGGGCGCATACTGGTCGGTGGGAGGCTATCGGTGGCAGAAGGCGGTCCCACAAATACCCAGGTCCTATGCCATGGAGCGCTTTAAAGGTGGTGACCAACACCTTGAAGCGCACCCAGAAGACCACTGGAAGCCAATGCAGCTCACGCAGGAGAGGTGTCACATGGGAGCGCCCCCTCGCTCCCATAATCCCCCACGTGGCCGCATTCTGCACCAGTTGGAGCCTCCGGGTGCTCCTCAAGGGGAGCCCCATGTAGAGACCTTCCCTTGAAGAGTATCAAGAAACAACTGGTGCAAATTGTAGTAGCAAGAAAAGTTATGAATGTTTCTGGTAAGGCACATTATCGCTTTGCTTGCTGAGCTGCATTGGTTGGTCTCATCACAACAGACTCAGGGACTCTATTATTAGTGTATAATGGTTTTAAGCAATGATTGTCTTTTATATTTACAATTTACAAAACGAGGAGGTGATAAGCCACCTGGGAAAGCCAAGGGAAATCATCAAAACCCTAAAAAAGCGAAAGTTAGAATATTTTGGACATGTGATGCAACACCCAGAAAAATACGGCATCCTTCACTTAATCTGCCAAGGAAAGATTGAAGGCAAATGAGGTCCAGGCAGAAGAAGAACATCATGGCTTCAAAATCTAAGGGACCAGTTTGGGCAAAACTCCGCAGCACTTTTTCATGTGGCTGTTGATGAAAATTGGATTGCCAACATGATTGCCAACATCTGATGATGGATACATTGTACCTTTACAGGGAGGATATCTGAGAAGAGGGTGTGGCTCACTGATGACGCCTTAAAAGGCAGAAATAGCTATCTGAGTCTCCCAGAGAGCAACACAGAGTTGCTGTTTGTCAGCAGAAAAAAGGCCCAGAAACTTGTGAATGAGATTTCACAGAACCAGGGCTGTAGAACAACTTAGCTTACGTAGGTAAAACCTGGCTAGAGGAAAAACATATATACATACATACATACATACATAATAACAGAGTTGGAAGGGACCTTGGAGGTAGATATAGATATAGTCAGTTGGCGCCATCACTGACTATTGGGGGTGAATCATTGGCCCCCACGGAGAGGGCTCGCAACTTGGGCATCCTCCTGGATTCACGGCTGCCTTTAGAAGAGCATTTGACGGCCGTGACCGGGGGGATTTTTCATCAGGTTCGCCTGATTCGCCAGTGGCATCCCTTTCTGGATCGGGACTCCTTATGCATGGTCACTCATGCCCTTGTCACTTCCTGCCTGGACTACTGTAACGCTCTCTACATGGGGCTCCCCTTGAGAAGCACCCGAAGGCTCCAACTGGCACAGAGTGCGGCCGCGTTGGTGGTAATGGGAGCGACATGGCGTTCCCATGTAACACCTCTCCTGGGCGAGCTGCACTGGCTCCCGGTGGTCTTCCGGGTGTGCTTCAAGGTTTTGGTTACCACCTTTAGAGCACTCCATGGCTTAGGACCTGGTTATCTACAGGACCGCCTACTACCACCAATAGCCTCCTGCCGGCCGGTACGCTCCCATAGAGAGGGGCTCCTCCGGGTGCCGTCGGCCAAACAATGTCGACTGGGAGCCTCCAGGGGGAGAGCCTTCTCTGTGGGGGCACCTACTATCTGGAATGAGCTCCCCCCCGGAGATACGGAGGATCCTGGATCTACGCACCTTCCGCCACGCTCTAAAGACCTTTTTATTTCACCAGGCGGGCCTGGCCTAATCTTTTCCCTTTTTCTTTTTAATATGAAAATTTTAATCTGTTTTTTAAATGATTGGGGTGTTTTAAATCTGTCTGGGCCAAATTGTTTAATTCGGTTTTATTCTGTTTTTAAATTTTGTATTTATGTATTTTATCGTTTGGCTGTTCACCGCCCTGAGTCCTTTGGGAGTAGGGCGGTATATAAATCAAATAAAGATAAAGATAAAGATAAGGTCTTCTAGTCCAGGGGTCTCAAACCTTTCAAGACCTCAGACTTGAACACTGGGCCCTATCAGTAGTGACTGTGAGAGGAATCTTGGAGTCTTAGTGGACAACTGGAGGCTAAAACATACAAAGAACGGTTACAGGAATTTGGCCTGGCTAGTCTAGTGAAGTGAAGGACCAGGGGAGACATGATAGCAGTCTTCCAATATTTGAGGGGCTGCCCCAGAGAAGAGGGGGTCAAGTTATTTTCCAAGGCATCCGAAGGCCAGGCAAGGAAGAATGGATGGAAACTGAGGAGAGATTCAACCTGGAAATAAGGGGAAAATTCTGACTGTGAGAGTAATCAACCAAGGGAACAGAAGTTGCCTTCAGAAGTTGTGGGAGCTTCATCACTGGAAGCTTTCAAGAAGAGACTGGACTGCCATCTGTCAGAAATGGGGTAGGGTCTCCTGCTTGGGTGGGGGGTTGGACTAGATGACCTACAAGGTCCCTTCCAACTCTGTCAATCTCTTAAGGCTCAGTTCCACATAACTCAAATACCCAAGTTCACCTTGACTCTCAACTGCATCTGATCTGTGGATTAACAACAGGAGACCCAAACTCACTTTTCTCCATCTGCTGTATGAAGAGTAGCTATTGCTCAGTAAATAGAACAATTGCTTTTCCATGCAATTATAAGAAGAATAGTAATTTCTAATATATCCCCTATGGATTTCTACAGAAAAAAAAATCTTCTGAGATAAAAGCTGCTTTAAATTAGATACTCAGAGTTCTCCTGGTGGGGGCAGGACATGTCACCTTGCCTTGTGTTGCAAAGAACCAACTCCTGGGTTTGCTGAGCCTCAACTGGCCTCAGTTTCCTCTTTGCTCATAAACCAAACACAGGTAAGAGGAAACATGGCTGCATACAAATTGGCCTTGGGGCCATCCAGGTAGCCCAGATTATTTCTCTTCTGCTAAAGCTCTGCTGAGATTTCAACTTCTGCAAAAAAAATAAAAATAAAATAACCTCTTGATTTCTGATCTAGAGGGGAAGGAGAGAAGAATGACTGGGCTGCCTCTCCTCCTGCTGCTGTTGCTCTTCTGTCTCCTGTCTCCAACTATTGCTAAGAGGAAGCAAACTGGGTGTGTGTTGACAAACACTGTACACACTAGGAGAGACTTTTACAGGCCTGGTAATTTCGTCATTGGTGGGAACGTTCCCCTGGGAACTGCACTTAAAATCAACTTCCAATCCTTTCAAAAAGACCCATCTCGACTTCTGAAGAATATTTTGTAAGTTTCACCCAAAGGGGAAAGATGTAAATAATTATTTTCTTTGCTTTATATTCAGGGACTCTTTTCAGAAACACTTGTTTTAGTGACGTTTGCAATGTCCTACCTTAGTTCAGATCTTTGTGCTTTTCTCAATAAAGAACCAAACTCATATAATAGGCTAGAATTCTCCATCTTTCCAGAACTCTTGATCAGGAAGCAAATAAACCACCCAAAAAGTCAGGAAGGACAACACCTTAGAAACTGTGCTGGCCTAGTGAAGAAGTTGACTTACAATATAAATTTGGACAGAAACTCCTGATGCAAAACTCAATCATGAGGTCAAACCCATTTAATGTGGTTTCCAGACCTGAAGAAGCTGCTTCAAGAGGGAAACAAATTAATTGGGGTGGAAGAGAAGCGATTGGGAAGGATTACCACCACTGAAGCAAAGTGAAGGAAGGTGGGGGGGCTGATGGAGGGGTATCAAATGATCTGGGGAATGGAGAAACAGGATTTTCTCCTTTCTCTCAAGGCCATTAATCAAGGAACAGCCTTAACAATGAATCAAACCCAATGGACTTTGAAACTTCCTGCTATACAAAGAACATTTTTTTAAAAATCCACCAGCACAAACAAGCTCTCCTTAAAATTTCCCCAATGATTTTCTTACTGTAGAATGATACCCAAGAACTACCAGCAGTTCATAGTCTTGGTGTTTGCAGTCAGCGAGGTCAACAAAGATCCAGTTCTCCCCTCCAACATCACTCTTGGCTTCCACATCTATAGCAATTCTCAGACTGAGGTGGAGATTTGCTCAAACAGCCTCTCCCTGCTCTCCACCCGAGACCGAATGGTTCCAGGGTACAAATGTGACAGGAAGGACCCTCTGCTCTCTGTCATTGGAGATCTCAATCCCAGATCCTCAAGGCAGATGGCCTCCATCTTCAGCCTCTTCAAGGTCCCACAGGTAAGGGGGCTTCCCTGGATACAGTAGAGAGTACAAAAACAACTGAAGCACACCCAGAAGCCAAAGGTGGAAAACAAAGGGGGTGTTTTGGGGGACATATATTTATATTTTTTGTGTCATGATATGTTTTTATAGAAGCCAAAACTGATCAGTGAGATAACTTTGAAATGTGGTATTTGCCAAGAGGAATTTTTTCTTAATCTATTCTTCATAAGAGTGTAGTGTAGTATATTCTCTGTATTGATTTGATGTATGGTTCCCTTGGCTTCTGACATAATCCACATAATGATGACCCCTAAAATTTACTATCAAGAATCTCACTTTCTCCAGCTTGGTGTTGGCTTTGAGTTCACTCAGGAAGACAGAATAGTTTATCCTTCCTTCATCTGGATTAATCCCAGTGATTTTGCTGAGTGTGTGGGTTTAGTCCAGCTGCTTCTGCATTTCCAGTGGAACTGGGTTGGTCTTCTGGCCCCTGAAGATGAGAGTGGAGAACGTTTCGTCTCATCTCTGATGCCAATGCTGAAGGAGAAGGAGGTCTGCCTGGCCTTCACTGAAATATTGAAATCAGATTTTCTTGATACTACAATGCTGAAGTTACTTCGTAGTGTGGAGACTTGGTCTAAAGCTGAAGTGATTGTTCTATTTGGAGACCCCAATAGTATTAAAAATGTACAAGTGGCAATCAATGTCCATGAACATTTGAGGAAGGTGTCATTTTGGAAAGTTTGGGTCTTAACTTCCCATTGGAAACTTAGTGTGGTGAAGAATCAAGGCATGATGAAATCAGTAAAGTCCTTCCATGGGGCTTTGCATTTTAGGCCCCACACTGGGGATGTCTCAGAATTCAGTCATTTCCTCCTGTCTTTAGACTCCTTGAAGCCACAAGGGGACATCTTTCTCCTGCAATGTTGGGAAAGGTTGTTTGGCTGCATGATGGACAAACCAGGAAGGATCCTTCCAAAGGGGGTAAAACGATGTACAGGAAAAGAGAATTTACAGAATGTACCTTCTTACATTTTTGAAACAAGCATGGAAGGTGAAAGTTACAATATCTACAATGCTGTTTATGCTGTGGGACATGCATTGCATGCAATATACAGATCTGGAGGACAACCAACCACAATGAGGCTCAGAAAGAGGATCTCAAATATTCAGTCATGGCAGGTAAACTCAGTGAGTTTTTATCTAGTCCAGAGATCTCTAGGTAGGAAACTCCCTATATGAATTTCTTGAATTATTCTTGATTAAATATCTGTGTGCTATCAATGTATCTAAGAAGGGATTAAGACAGCCATTATTAAAAATAATTTTTGTAGAACCTCCTCACTTTCTCTCAGTCAGTAGCCTGAATCCAATCTGTAAAAGGACACTCAATTCATTTTAATGTTGGTTTAGATTATTGTGCCTTGGAAATGTTTGTTATTGCGTGCCAATTTTTTAGTACGCAGTTTCTTGTACTGCTTTGTTTGCTGTGTTCAGCCTCTGTCAAGCTCAGCATGTGCAGAAGAAGACTCAATATATGGTCCTAATGGGTTCCTGATCTGAAATTCTTCAGATTTTTCAACATCAAAGGCTCAATTATTCCTCTCTGGACAATGAAGTGACAAACCAGGGCAGGACAAACCTTCTACGTGGCCCCTCTTGGTCAGATCTCCTTCTTCATTCTGCTCCCTTTGACCATCAGCTAGAGAAAGTCAGGGGAACTGTAGGATTTTATGATAGAAAGTATTTACCAGTAAAGGAGAATATTATAGCTCAGGGTTTAAATGAGGGGTCCTTGGTGCTCTTTGAGTTTGGCTGTTTTCTTACAACCCAACTAGGTAGTATCATCAGTGCTAGAAGGGAGGGATATCACTTTCAGCGTTACCCAGTTTAGGTCATGAAACATCTGCAAGAAAATAACGAGGATCAGAGAGCACCAAGCACCAAGGACAAATAATTAATCATTCTTAAAAGGCATTTGTCATTTACAAGAATGTTGGCCCAAATAAAATTAAAAACATAGCTTGCCAAGTATCACAGAGGAAAAACTACACAATGTAATTTGTAATATTTGTCTGTAGCTCTCATCCTTGTAAGACTGGAATTGAAGAAGCCATGATACAAATGTCCAATGATAAAGAGAATGTCTCGTCATTTTAAGGATGGAGTCGAATATCTGATGTTACTTCTGATAGCTTAGATCTCCATCAAGGGAACTCATTTAGCTTCTCAGATATAGACACATCTCCTAGGCTGATGGCCATCACATAATGATAGAAACCAGGGTGTCTCATGTGTGGTGTTCAGCCAATTAATCCGGCTGCCTTTTCTTTCAGGTTCTTCCCTATCTGAGGAACATCAAGTTCAACAACAGTGCTGGAGAGGAAGTCTCCTTCTCAGAAAGTGGATTGGTTTCTTCTCATTTTGATCTTCTCAACTGGCTTTTCCTCCCCAATCAATCTTTTGTCCCCACGAAAGTTGGACAAATAGATTCCACAGCTTCCCCAGGACAAGATTTCACCATTAAGTCTGATGCGATCATCTGGGCCACAAAGGTGAGTTGGAAGGAAATGTTATAAATTCAGCAAAGGATTAATTCACTCCAGGAGAAGCATAACCTCCTTTTAATTGGGAAACAGGTCTATTCAGTCAGAAAAAAATTCAGGAATTTGATGAAAAACCTGCTTTTGAGTTTAACACATTTACAGTTTGACTTCTGAAAAGTCCAAGATGGGGTAAGATTGGGAAGAACTCCTGCTTGGAACCCAGGAGCCCATTAAAGCAAAAAAGATTTCCATGGACCATTCAGTTGGATCCCCACAATTCTTTCTTTTAGAAAAGCTGTAGCTCCATGTCATAAGCCTTCCTTTCATTTTGAGGTCTCAGTTCCAATCTCCAGCATCCATTCTGGAGGGTCAGGATTGCCACTGGCCTGACTCCCCCTGGAGCTTATCCCTCTCGTAGGCCCTGGTAAACCGTTTCTTTTGAAGACACTCTAAAGATGGAGACAGAAATGCAGAAATAGACAAATGAAGCATGTTTATTACTTAGGTCATCTCAAATATTTCTCTTCCAGAAGGTGCCCTTTGCCAGGTGTGGCATGAAGAGGTGCCATGCAGGAGAGAGGAAGAGCGTTCCAGAAGGCAAGGAAGTTTGCTGCTACCAATGTGACCCTTGTCCAGAAGGGACCATTTCTAATCAGACAGGTACAGCACACGTCAAGTGTAGATCTTCAAGGAAGTCATTCAATGGGAAAATATTAATTTTGGCATCAGTTTTGGTAGGAGGCTTTTTATTTATTTATTTATTTATTTATTTATTTATTTATTTATTTTTAGAATTTATATGCCGTTCTTCTCCCGTGGGATTCGGGGTGGCTCACACAATAAAAACAACATCAATCGTCAATAAATACTAAAACCAATCCAATTAAAATCCCCAAAATTAAAAGCCTCGTAACCGATCAGGGAATTTGCTGAAAAAGCCATGTCTTCAGACCAGTGTGGAAAGTGCGGAGATCGGGAGCCGTCCGGAGCTCGGTGGGTAACCCATTCCAGAGGGTCGGTGCGGCCACAGGAAACGCCCTCATCCTGGGGGTCACCAGCCGACATTGTCTGGCCGGCGGCACCTGGAGGAGGGCAGCTCTATGTGAATGCACTGGGCGGTGGGAGGCTGGTAGGAGGTGGTCCTGCATGTACCCCGGGCCCATGCCATGAAGGGCTTTATAAGTAAGAACCAGCACCTTGAAACGGATCCAGAAGGCCACCGGCAGCCAGTGCAGCTCGCACATGAGAGGTGTTACCCGGGAGTAACGAGAAGCTCCCATGACAACCTGCGCGGCCGCATTCTGGACCAGCTGGAGCCTCCGGGTGCACCCCAAGGGCAGCCCCATGTAGAGGGCATTGCAGTAATCCAACCGAGAGATAATGAGAGCTTGAGTGACTGTACGGAGGGCATCCCTGTCTAGAAAAGGTCGCAACTGTGGAAAAGCCCCCCTTGTTACGGCCATCAGATGATCCACCAAGGACAGCCGTGAATCAAGGAGGATGCCAAGATTGCGTGCCCTTTCCGAGGGAGTAAGCAACTCCCCTCCCATCAAAAGTGATGGGGTAGCTAGAGCAGGAGATGCCGGAATCCACAGCCACTCGGTCTTGGAGGGGTTGAGTCTGTGCCTGTTTCTACCCATCCAGACCCGCACCGCCTCCAGGCACTTACACATCACAGAAAGGGCATCCCTGGGCTAGTCCGGGGGGAGATATATAATTGGGTATCATCAGCATACTGATGATACCTCACCCCGAAACTACGAATGATCTCACCCAGCGGCTTCCTATAGATGTTAAAGAGCAGGGGGGAGAGAACTGACCCCTGTGGAACCCCACAAGTGAGGGGTGTCGGGGAGGATCTCTGACCCCCCCCCGCCCACACAAACTGCATACAGCCCGAGAGGTAGGAGGAGAACCATTGTAAAACAGTGCCCCCCACTCCCAACCCCCAGAGCCACCGCAGTAGGATACCATGGTCGATGGTATCAAAAGCTGCTGAGAGGTCAAGTAGCACCAGAATGGAGGAACAACCTCCATCCCGGGCCCACCAGAGAACATTCACCAGGGCCGCCAATGCCGTTTCCGTGCTGTGGCCACGCCTGAAACCCGATTGGTATGGGTCTAGGTAATCCGTTTCCTCCAGGAATTGTGGAAGTTGGTACACCACAATATGATTCAATATATTCGTAGTTTTCACCAGACCCTCTCAATTCATGAATCTAAGCTGTGCTACCCCAAAGGCCACTTTTCTTGCTCTTCAACAATTTATTATCAGGTTTTTTCACGGCAAAATTTATAGGTTTCCTACTAAAGAAAAAGATTGAATGACTGGATTTGAAGAATAAAGCAGAGAAGTTGAGCCAGAGAACAGATCTGTTTTTCTGGCTAATTTATTCCCAGCATCGTCAATATGGATGGATGATTTGCCTTTGTTGATTCACCATGAAATTCACACCGACTCTTGATTTCAGATGCAGCTCTCTGTGATCCTTGCCCAGAAGACCAATATCCCAACAAGGACAAGGACCACTGCATTGCCAAGAAGCTCCACTTCCTTTCCTATCAAGACCCCCTGGGATACTCCTTAACATCTCTCACTCTTTTTCTCTCTGTGACCACATCTGCAGTTCTGGTGATTTTCCTTACGCATCATGATACACCGATTGTCAAGGCCAACAACCGAGATCTCACCTACATCCTCCTGGTCTCCCTCCTGCTCTGCTTCCTCTGCTCCTTTCTTTTCATTGGTCAACCCAGGAAGCTCACCTGTCTCTTCCGACAAACTGCCTTTGCCATTCTCTTTTCCCTTGCAATTTCCTCTGTCTTGGCAAAAACTGTCATGGTGGTTCTGGCCTTCATGGCCACCAAGCCAGGGAACAGGACTAAGAAACTCTTAGGAAAACCACTGACCAATTCCATTGTCTTAGCCTGTCCCCTGGTCCAAGCACTTCTTTGTGCCACCTGGCTGGTAACCTCTCCCCCATTTCCCAACTTGGACTTCCATTCCTTGGTAGGAGAGGCCATCTTGGAATGTAATGAAGGCTCAGCTTTGATGTTTTATGTTGTCCTTGCCTATCTGGGTTTCCTGGCCCTCGTCAGTTTTACAGTGGCTTTTTCAGCTAGAAAATTGCCAGACAGCTTTAATGAAGCCAAGTTCATCACTTTTAGCATGCTGGTCTTTTGCAGTGTTTGGATCTCATTCCTCCCCACCTACCTGAGCACCAAAGGGAAGTCCATGGTGGCCGTGGAGATCTTCTCCATTTTGGCCTCTGGGACTGGTCTCTTGGCCTGTATCTTTTTCCCCAAATGTTACATTATTTTATTTAGGCCCAATCTGAATTGTAGAGAGAATATAATGAGGCACAAGAGTCTCTGATTTTATTATTTATTTATGAAACATAGTTATATTGCTATCCAATTTACATATTGGTGACTCCGGATGGTTTATAACATTAAAAATTAATTTTTTCTCTTTTGGTGTCTGGCATTCTGGCTCCTTCTCTTGATTTATGACAGAGGTTTCCCCCCACTGTCCTATTTATTGCTTTATTCCTCCTTTTTGGTTTCCGAAGGAAAATCTGCACAGGAAATAGGCTGAGCTCCATTACTTACAGTAACTTGAGATCCTTTCCCTATGAATATCTGTGCTTATCTTGTCTGTTGCTTATGCATTAGCCTCTCCTGCCTTTCTTTGATGTATGATAACTGAAATATGAGACCATCCTTTTCTTGAGCCTCTCTCAATATTGGGGGAGTCCTATCAGCCCTTGCTGTCAGGTGTGCTTTCTTTAAAGTTCAAGAAAGAATGACCCTAACTCCATGGTTTATAGAAAAAGGTACTTTTAATGAAAATTGGAATGATCGCAACCAAGGAAAAGCAGAATCTGAGGCAAAAGCGCAAAAATTACAGATAGAAAGCATTCCCTACCACTGTCCATCGTAAATCATCCAATCCAAAGGTCTCCCAGAGGTCAGGTGGGAGCAAACGTCTGGCAGCATCATCAATCAGGAATGCCACGACTGTTGAGCTGATAGCAGCTTCAAAGATGCAGCCCAGTAGCTTAAGTCTCACTTTTGTTTCTCTCCAGCACACTCTTCCCCATGCTAGCTCCCCCTGCCCCCATTACCATGGCAGCCAAGCAGTAAAGGCGGAGGCTGAAACTTGCTGTTTCACGAACCCTGAAAAAAGTCTTGATTATTGATTAACCTCCAGTTTTGGAGTACCCACAACCTCTGGAGGTAGGTTGATCAATTGTTCTAGTCAGTGGAATGAGCTGCCTCCAGAAGCTGTGAGTGCTCCATCACTGAAGGCTTTTCAGAAGAGACAAGCATATGCCTGAAATGGTATGGGGTTTCCTGCCTGAGCAGGGGGTTGGGCTAGAAGACCTCCGAGGTCCCTTCCAGCTCTCTTATTCTGTTATTTCCTTCAGGTCCTCTGTTTGATTCCACCCTGTTTGATTGTCATCCCTCCCAGAACAGAGATTTATGGGAGTGAGGCTCTCCTTCCCACACCAGCTTACAATGGTGGTGACATTCTTCAGAAGAAAACACTGCAGATAGACTTTTCTGGCTCTAACTGGTTAGACAGCCCTCCTGTACGTTTAAATGTCTTCAACAGTTACAAAACATATAAATAAGGCTTGGTAAAGCTCTCCTCAGTGAGAAGCAGGAATAGCTAAGAACAGCAATCTTGCAAAACAGGCAGGTCATGGACTTGATGCTGCTCAAAATGGCCCATGGATGTGAGGGATTTCCTGGTTTGGGTTGCTTCAACCTCACTGACAATTCCTTGCAAGTAAAAGCAGTTTGTGATGGCCTATAGGTGGAGCAATCAGAAGGCTATGAGTTCAATCCTAGGTAGAGGCAGATATTTCTCTCTCTGGGCACAATTTATTTATTATTTTATTTTATTTTATTTCAAATTTATATACTGCACCTTCTCCTGAGGGACTCAGGGCGGTGTACAGCCAGCTAAAAACATACAACACAAACATTAAAAACAATTAAAAGGATATATATTAATTTGGCCCCAATTTAAAATGACAAACCAGTTAAAAATGTTTTTTAAAAATGTTATGTTAAGCCAGCCCGGCTTGCTGGAAAAAGAAAGTTTTAAGGGCACGGCAGAAGGCACCGAGATCATGGATTCTCCTTATCTCAGAGGGCAACTGATTCCAGAGGGTAGGTGCCCCCACAGAGAAGGCCCTCCCCCTGGGGGTCATTGTTTGGCTGATGGCACCCCGAGGACGCCCTCTCTGTGGGAGCGCACAGGTCGGTGGGAGGCAGTCGGTAGCAGCAGGCGGTCTCGAAGATAACTAGGTCCTATGCCATGGAGTGCTTTAAAGGTGGTGACCAACACCTTGAAGTGCACCCGGAAGACCACTGGGAGCCAGTGCAGCTCACACAGGAGCGGTGTCATGTGGGAACGCCAGGCAGCTCCCATAATTACCTGCGCGGCCGCATTCTGGACCAGCTGGAGCCTCCAGGTGCTCCTCAAAAGGAGCCCCATGTAAAGAGCGTTGCAATAGTCCAGGCGCGAGGTAACAAGGGCATGAGTGACTGTGCACAGGGAATCCTGATCAAGAAAGGGCCGCAACTGGCGGATCAGGCGAACCTGACAAAAGATCCCCATGGCTACCGCCGTCAGATGTTCCTCTAAAGACAGTTGCGTATCCAGGAGGACACCCAGATTGCGAGCCCTCTCCGTGGGGGCCAAAGACTCACCCCCAATAGTCAGTGATGGAGTCAACTGACTATATCGGGATGCCGGGAACCACAGCCACTCAGTCTTGGAAGGGTTGAGCTTGAGCCTGTTCCTCCCCATCCAGATCTGCACAGCCTCCAGGCACTGGGACATCACTTCAAGGGCATCATTGGGGTGGCCTGGGGTGTAGATGTACAGCTGAGTGTCGTAAGTGTACTGATGGAACTCCACCCCAAAGCCACGGATGATCTCGCCCAGCGGCTTCACATAAATGTTGAACAGAAGGGGTGAGAGGACCGATCCCTGCGGCACTCCACAAATGAGAGGCCTCGAGGTCGACCTCTGCCCCCCTGCCAACACAAACTGCGACCGGTCTGAGAGAAAGGAGGAGAACCACCATAACACGGTGCCCCCCACCCCCAACTCCTCCAAACGGTGCAGCATGATACCATGGTCGATGGTATCAAAAGCTGCTGAGAGATCTAACAGGGCTAGAACAGAGGAACAACCCCTGTCCCGTGCCCTCCAGAGATCATCTACCAATGCGACCAATGCCGTTTCCGTGCTGTGCCCAGGCCTGAAACCCGACTGGAACAGATCTAGATAAGACATTTCCTCCAGGAATTCTGGAAACTGTCGCGTGACCACACTCTCAACAACCTTCGCCATGAAGCGAAGGTTGGAGACAAGACGGTAGCTGGCTAATACTGCCGGGTCCAGGGAAGGCTTCTTGAGGAGAGGCCTCACCACCGCCTCTTTCAAGGCAGCGGGGAAGTAACCCTCACTCAGCGAAGCGTTGATATTTCCATGGAGCCAGCCTCGTGTCCCTCCTGGGAAGCCAGTACTAACCAGGAGGGACATGGGTCCAGTAAACATGTGGCCGCACCAAGTCTCCCCAGAATCCTGTCCACGTCATCAGGAGTCACAGAGTCAAACTCTTCCCAGATAACATTCTGCCCAGATAACAATGAGAATGTATCTGCTGTGAACTCTGCATTGGCAACAGGAAGGGCCAGTAAACACTCAGCTCCATTCAGTTGCCCTGACTCCACCCCACAAGAAATTATGGGGTCATTAAACAACAAGAAAAGCAGTATGCAAGATGTAAAGGATCAGGAACAAGGAGCTACAGAACAAGCCTCAGTGTTCTATGCAATTGGCTTTCCTTGTGGGTACCTGGGACAGGCTGGTTGCAAAACTTGGCTCTAGATTGCTAGCTCTTCTGCCTGGCATTAAGGTCTTTTCAAACATTGTTTCCAGAAGAGTGAGCGGATAAATCCTGTCCTTTCAGGATTTTGCCCCCCAAGAGGTGAAAAGGGAGAAGAGCTGTGAAAAAACCAAGTTGTTGGAGGAGTGAGAGCCTCTTAGCAAGACAGAAGCATAGAAGAGGAAGTTCTGCTTTTGGGACCCTGAACTCCTTGCTTCTCAGTACATTTTATCAAAACTGCTACTGCAAAACAACTGATTGTGTTTCTTTTTATTAAGGCAATAACTCTCGAGGATACTAACAGCAGATGGGTGGGAAAGTAACCTGAGGATTGTTATTTATGGATATTTGTGCTTACAACATCGATTGTATTTTTTATATGTATGATCATCATTTTTCATCATTTTCTTGGTTTGGCCTGTTAGGAGTCAAAATACGTCTGACTCACATAGCTAATTTCTTTTGGTCGTTAGTTGCTCCTTTGTGTTCAGGTCTGGCCTCAGAATAATAATGTAGCACTTGGGGATGAAGACGCAACCAAGCAGACCAGCACTGGAGGCCAAGATGGAGAAGACCTGCACAGCCACCATGTATTTCCCTTTGGTGCTCAGGTAGGTGGGCACAAAAGTCACCCAGACACTGCAGAAGACCAGCATGCTGAAGGTGATCAGCTTGGCTTCGTTGAAGGCCCCAGGCAGGTTCCTGGCCAGGAAAGCCACCGTGAAGCAGATGGCAGCCAGGAAGCCCATGTAGCTGAGGGTGACGTAGAACATGACAACGGCCCCTTCGTTGCATTGCAGGACGATCTCTCCAGGCTGGGAGTGGAGGTCAGAGTCAGGGAATGGGGGAGAAACTCCCAGCCAGATGGAGCAGATGATAATTTGGACAGCAGAAGAAGAAAGGATGATGGAGTTGGCCAAGCTCTTCCCCAACCATCTCTTCACTCGGTTTCCTGGTTTTGTGGCCAGGAAAGCCAGCACCACCGTGATGGTTTTGGCCAAGAGAGAAGAAACGGCAACTGAGAAGATGATGCTGAAAACCGTCTGTCGGAGAAGGCAGGTGGCTTTCCTTGGTTGACCAATGAAGAGAAAATTAGACAAGAAGCAAAGCAGGAGGGAGACCAGGAGGATGTAGGAGAGGTCCCGGTTGTTGGCTTTGACAAGGGGAGTTTCCCGGTATTTAATGAAGATGAGTAAGACAAAGCCTGTGGTTAGGGAAAAGAATAGAGCAAATGACACCAGGATGTTGCCCAGATGTTCTTCATAAGACAGGAAGGTTATAAATTTGGGGATACATTGGACTTGATCCTCATTTGGATATTTATCATCTGGACACTTGGTGCATTTTTCTATATCTGAGAAAACAAATAAACAAAAAAAATTTCTTTAACATTTTACTTGGCTGTTTTTACTTGGCTGTTCACCGCCCTGAGTCCTCAGGGAGAAGGGCGGTATACAAATTCAAA